AACTTATATATGTGTTTTGTTTTTCTAGAACACTGAGCCAAAAAACAGGAAATGATTGAATCTTGGTGTCAAAAAACAAATTTAAAAGAAAAAAGTATTTTACACATTTAGAAGATTTTTAAATGACAAGATCCATTTAAACATGAAGTCAGCAGAGCATTTCCTAGAATGGAATTATTTTATTTTTAGAAGTATTTGCAAAAAGCATGATCATCTATGTGAAAAAAAATCCTAAAATATCTACAGAAAAGCTATAATAATTAATTTTAACATGGTTGTAAGATACAAAAATCAATTTACAAAAACCAATTACTTTTTTAATATATTAGCAACCAACAATTGGTAATTAAAATTTAAAAATACAACATTTAGAATAGAACCCAAATTATGAAGTAGTAAGTGTTAAATTTAACAAGATATGTCATGAGACCTGTATGGTGAAAACTACAAAACATCTTTGAGAGAAATTAAATAAAACCTAAAGAAATGGAGAAATATACCATGTTGATGGATCAGAAAACTTGATATTTTAAGATGTCAGTTTCCCCCATTAACCTACAGATTTAATGCAGTCCGTAGTTCAAATTGATTCTAAAAATATACAAATGAAATAGAACTAACATAGGCTAGTTTTAAGACTTTTTACAGAGATGAAGTAGTCAAAACACTTTGATATTGGCATAAAGACAGACATGCAGATCAATGAAACAGACCAGATAGTTTAGAGATAGACCCACAGATTTATGGTCAATTGTTTTTTGACAAAGTTGCTCAGGTAATTCAATGAGGAAATGACAGTCTTTTCAACATATGGTTCTGGAACAACTGGTGAATTGTGACCCTCACCCCACTCCATGAAAGCAAATATTTAAAAATAGATCTAGACCTAAATGCAAAAGCTAAATTTTAAAAACTTCTAAATGAAAACATAGGAGAAAATATCTGTGACCTTGACCTTTGCAATTTTTGCCTACATAGAACACAAAAAGTACACGAACCATAAAAGGAAAAGATTAATAAATTGAGCTTTATTTTTTAAAAGTAAATAGCTTCTGCAGTTCAATAGTCAGTATTAAGGAAACAAAAAGGCAAGCCACAGACTGGAAAAAAAAATATTCGCAATACTTATATCTGACAATGGACTTGCATTCAGAATACATAGAGAACTCTTACATTCCAATAATAAGACCACCCATGTTTGTTTGTTTTTGTTTCTGTTTCCTGAGACAGGGTCTCCCTTTCTGTCCCAGGCTGAAGTGCAGTGGCACAAACATGGCACTCATGTAGTCCTTTCTTCTCAGTCTCCTGAGTAGCCGGGACTACAGGTGCACACCACCACACCTGGCCATTTTAAAAATTTTTTGTAGAGATGGAGTCTCACCATATTGCCCAGGCTGTTCTCAGCCTCCTGGGCTCAAGCAGTCCTGCCTTGGCCTCCCGAAGTGCTGGGATTATAGGCATGAGATACCACATCCTACAAGTTTTTTTTTTTTTAAGCCTAAATATTTTAACACATTTCACAAAAGATAAAATATAAAAGGCCAAAAGGCCCAAATGATTCTGTCATTAATCATCAGAGAAATGCGAAAACTAAAATCACAATGAAATACCCTATGGCACCATAAAAATGGCTAAAATTAAAGACTCACTATACGAATTGTTGACAAGAATGTGGTTTTATACATCGCCAGTGGGAATATAAAATGACACAACCACTTTGGAAGATGGTTTGGCAATTTCATATAAAGTTAACTGACAATTAACATACAATTTAGCCATTTCATCACCCTTTATCCAAGAGAAAGGAAAACATGTCCACACAAAAACTTATACATTAATGTTTAGGGCAGCAAGCCCAAACCAAAGACTACCCAAATGTCCATCAACAGATGACAGGATTAACAAAGTGGAGACTATCCCCAGGATGGCATAATACACAGCCGTAGATGAGGATGCATTACGGATAGTGCCACAGTATGCATGGTTCTCATGAAGTTATTCTGAGTGAAAGAAGCCAAACTCAAAGGAGTACATACTTTATTATTACATTATATGAAGCTTTAGAAAAGACAAATCTAATGTTTATGGATAGAAAGCACATCAGTATTTGCCTGTGGTTGTGTGTGGGACCTGGATTGATCATACTGGGGCAAAAGGTAGCTTTTGAGGGTGATAAAAATACTGGATATTTTCACTATGGTGGTGGTGGTGGTGGTGGTTACTCAGATGTATAAACTTAGCAAAAGCTCATCAAGATGTACTTTGTGAATTTTATCACATCAACGAAGATGATTGTTTAAAATGGGCATGTTTGAAATTTCAACACCATTTAAATGGGTGCAATTGAAGTCTCATTCTCTTCCCTATTACTTGTAATCTGTTCCCACTAACTCCTGTAGGTACCCAATTTCATTAGTTTCTTGATTGTTTTTTTCTCTGTTTGTTTTTGATGGAAGTATATGTGCATAGATACATATTGTTCCAGATACTTCACAAATTAAACATAGCATACTATGCATAAATTTTTGAAACTTGCTATTTTCTTTTTTATATTTAAATCAACCCATTTACCATTTTTAATTTATTTTACTGTATATATTTAAGTGTACAACAAGTTTTGATATACAGAGCAAAATGGTTACTATAATCAGACAAATTTACATATCCATCACCTTCTGTAGTTACTTCTCTTCAGTATGTGTGTGGTAAAAGCACCCTACTCTCTTAGCAAAATTTCAGTATACATTATTCAAGATAGTCTTCATGTCATCCATAGTTATCTAGGCTTATTCATTCTACCTAAGTGAAAATTTCCACCCTTTGACGTACTCCTCCCTGTTTCCTCCCCTCCTCATCCCTAGTAACCACCATTGTTTTATTCTCTTTTCCTATTTATTTGACTTTTTTTGTTTTTTTGTTTTTGTTTTTGTTTGAGACGGAGTCTCGCTCTGTCACCCAGGCTGGAGTGCAATGGCGTGATCTCGGCTCACTGCAACCTCCACCTCCCGGGTTCAAGCAATTCTCCTACCTCAGCCTCCTGAATAGCTGGGATTATAGGCACCCGCCATCATGTCCAGCTAATTTTTGTATTTTTGTAGAGACAGGGCTTCACCAGGATTTATTTTTTTAAATAACTTTTGTTTCACTTCAGAAGAGGGTAAGGAAGAGAAGTAAAATCCAACTCATTTTTTCAATATATGAAAGAATTACTTAGCCCCTACTGTATATAAATCATGGCTGTTGGAACTAATAGACAGATGCCTCCCAGGGTGCCCCCTGGCTAAGCACTGAGCAAGACCTCATGTAGTCTCATTGTTCAGATGAAGTTCTAATAACTCAGTGTCTGAATCTCAGCTTTGCAGGTTTAATTTCTCTCATCTTGTCAGTAGACTCGTGTAGAAATCCTAAAGCTGATGTATTCACTTAGAGCACAGTAGCCCACCTCTTCACTGATTTTACTCTTAAAAAAAAAAATTGCATGAAATCTGTAAAGAAGGCCAGGTGCCATGGCTCATGCCTATAATCCCAGCACTTTGGGAGGCCAAGGCAGGAGGATTGCTTGAGCCCAGGAGTTCAAGACCAATCTGAGCAACATAGTGAGCCCCTCTCTCCATTAAATTAAAAAATCAAAAATAAAAGAGAAAAAAATGTATAAACAGAACTCTAATTATGAGAACTAAAACACATTTTTCATTAAATTTTGCATACATGTGTAAAGTACTACAATTAAAAATGAATTTTAAAAAAATTTTAGAGTCACCAAATTAAATACAGACTATCCAAAATGTTGCTTGAATAAAATAAATAAATGTTACAAATCTAGAATATTCTGGTTGGCCTAGCCAGTGACTTCTTTCTCTCATTAGGCAGGTGATCATGGAAAGCAATATTATAATCACAGAGTTGTTTGGTAAGCCTCAAAACAGAGCAAGAAGAGATAGTTGAATGATGTTAATGATAGTTGTTTACGGAGTTAGAGACTCATCTGCCAATTCGTATGCCAGTAACTGTATCTTTAGTAAAGGTTTATACTTGCTAAGACGACCATAGCTTTCCCATCAGTAGAGCTCTGCCAGCCATAGAGAGTACAGCACGAATACTGCAAATTTGTTGTCTACCTGACCCCTATATTTTGGTGTTATCTTACAGCTGCATCCTGCTATACAATTGCCATAGCTTTACCTAACAAAAGTGACAGAACCAACTCTGGAATCTCAAGCTAGAGAGGCCACTCTACTCCTTAACCCCACCTTATCCAGTGTTCCATCTCATTTCGGATCTATGGGCATCTTGAGGACTTCTAGGGCTGGGTTACCCACAGACAGTAAACAGATGGTGCTGAGCAAAACCTTATAGCATGGATGTGCATCACTCCCGTTGGGCAGGCAGTGAACAAGGTGGAGTTCTAGATGCAGACAGTAAAGTCCTCTTGGGCTCCAGTAACCAGAAGTTCCCACTAGAGTTGAGGCCAGTCAGTTCCCCTACCCTACCTTTTGAGGTAATAATGATTCTTCACTAGCACTACTGACTTGGCCTTCCAGACTTTATTTGTAGGAAATTAGCAGCAATTTCCTGCAATTTATAAATAAGACGCCTTATAAGGAAAAAAAAAAACAAACCATGATTTCCCATTCTTTTTTTTTTTTATGTATGTATTGCTTAGAGGGTTGAAATAACCATAAACTTAAATCTGGAATATTTAAGACATGGTATTGGGTAAACACAGCAGGACTCCCTTTGCAATTTCCATTGGAGAATTTGTGCTCTAAGAATGAGCAGAGCAGAATTAACACTGAGTCCCTCTGCCACCCCTCCAACAAGTCTCCATACCCAGTGAGGCCAGATCTGTCCATTTTGTTCTCCCAACTTTCCCCTAAGAATTCAAAATAACAATATTAGCAAAGTTAACATATCTATAGCACTCACTGTATGTTGTCCACTGTTCTAACAGCTTTGTACAGAACTGTACCTCTAATAAAGAATGCATGTGTCTTTTGCAGTTGTGAAGATGACCTCTCCGAGGACAGAGAGGAGCTTCTGCATGGGATTTCAGAGCTGGACATCAGCAACTCGGATTGTTTCCCATCCCAGCTGCTAGTGCATGGGGCTTTAGCCTTTCCTCTAGGGTTAGATTCCTACCATGGCTGTGTTATAGCGGCTGCCCGCTATGGCCGGGGCCGGGTGGTTGTGACTGGCCATAAGGTATTATTCACTGTTGGTAAACTGGGCCCCTTTCTGCTCAATGCCGTCCGCTGGCTGGATGGGGGCCGCAGAGGCAAGATCGTGGTGCAGACAGAGCTGAGAACCCTGAGTGGCCTCCTCGCAGTGGGGGGCATAGACACCAGCATCGAGCCCAATCTGACCAGTGATGCAAGTGTCTATTGCTTTGAACCCGTGAGCGAAGTGGGGGTCAAAGAACTGCAGGAGTTTGTAGCAGAGGGTGGCGGGCTGTTTGTTGGAGCCCAAGCCTGGTGGTGGGCCTTCAAGAACCCCGGAGTGTCCCCTTTGGCTCGATTCCCAGGAAACCTCCTCCTCAACCCCTTTGGCATCAGCATTACAAGCCAAAGCCTCAATCCAGGGCCCTTCCGTACTCCTAAAGCAGGGATAAGGACCTATCACTTCCGCTCCACCTTGGCCGAGTTCCAGGTTATAATGGGCAGGAAGAGAGGAAATGTGGAAAAGGGCTGGTTGGCAAAGCTGGGACCAGATGGTGCAGCTTTCCTGCAGATTCCCGCAGAAGAGATCCCTGCCTACATGTCTGTGCATCGACTCCTGAGGAAGCTGCTAAGTCGATACCGGCTCCCAGTAGCAACCCGAGAGAACCCTGTTATCAATGACTGCTGCAGGGGTGCTATGCTTTCCCTGGCCACAGGGCTGGCCCACTCCGGAAGTGACCTCTCTCTGTTGGTCCCAGAAATTGAAGATATGTACAGCAGCACCTATCTGCGCCCCTCAGAATCTCCTATCACCGTCGAGGTCAACTGCACCAATCCAGGTAAGGAACAAGGGTTGGGAGCTCAGTATTACGGGAACGGAGGAATGGGGACAGGCTGACGTCAGCAGTCCATTTCAGGGACCCGATCATGTCCAGAGGGTGGTCTCCATTTTTTACCATGAACTTTGAAGAAGATAAGGGTTGAGATTTTAAGTACTGTTTGGAAGAGTTGAGTCGGGGCAGCATGAAGGGGAAGATATGTGCTTATGAGGGGTCTCTGGTGACGCTGGGTGGAGATGGCATCATGGAGGAGGGATAAAGTCTGCCTACCCCTCCTGCTTTTGGCAGGCACCAGATATTGCTGGATGAGTACTGGGCTCTACATACCTGGAAGGCAAATTATAGAAGTCTCACTGCCTGAAGCTGCTGCCTCTGCCGACCTGAAGGTAAGGCCATGCCCCACCTCACCATGTGACATGCAACCCAAAGGCTTTTCCTAGCACAGTCAGTATCTTACTTGATTCTCACAAAGCCCTGTTGGTAATACAGAGCAGGTGATTTTACCCTTGTTTTAAGGATGAAGTAACTAAGGTGCAGAAAAGCTGATTGATTGATTGATTGATTGATTGATTGATTGATTGAAATGTATAGAGCTAATACAAACAAGTGCCCAGGACTCATACCTAACTAATTTCTGGCTCTTAAGTTTTGTGCTTTTGACTTACATCCTAGAGTAGGGAATAAGAGATATGAAATGGAAGGTAACCTCGCACAGAGTAGGCATTCAGTAAATCTGAGTTCACTGTTCATCTCCGTATCCATTCCCATGGTAGCACAAGGTCTTTCTGACTTTGGCTTCTTCCCCGTGACACCCAAGACCATTGCTCAGTTGCCCAGTTCACCTTCCCTCTGTCAGTTTCACGTAGAGATACACCCCATTTGCAAAATGAGCTTGCTGTCCTTCCCTATCCCCCTTGAGGGTCACTGTGATGGTTAGCATCTATTCTGTGCCTGTGCCTATCCTGGAACTTGGTGAGCATAAACCCAGGGAAAAGAATCCTAGGACTCTGCCAAGTACCTGCCCAGGAAGAGAGCTTGGAGAAAGGGGAGAAACTGAATCAACCCTCCACTATCTTAGCCAGATTACACCGCCTCCCACTGGGCCCTCTCTCTGATCAGCAAAAGGCAGGGTTCCCTCTGCCCCATTCCAAATGCCGGAATCACCACCATGAGATAGGCGACCGAGTGTTCTATTTGTTAGCAACACCAGAGGACTGGGCATGGGAGTCAGCCCTCCTCAGAATTGGCCTTATAGGTTACACCTGGCACTCCTCACATTAATATCTATCTAACATGACCCATTATGGAGCTGTTTGAATGCCTTGGGAAAATATTTATACATTCTTCAGTCCATATGCCCCAAGGAATGCTACAGTTTCGCGGGGGTATCACACATGGTTCATCAGTGGTGGGAAGGCTGGGCTCGCGTGGGGTCATGGCTGAATGACCCATCCTGAGTCCCTTGCTGGGCTCTCTTCTTCCACCCATTCGTGTCCCATGGTGACTCTGTGGGGGGAATCTCTCTGCTCCAGATACAAATTGGCTGCCACACAGATGACCTGACCAGGGCCAGCAAGCTTTTCCGAGGCCCACTCGTCATTAACCGGTGCTGCTTGGACAAACCCACAAAATCGATCACGTGCCTCTGGGGTGGACTCCTCTATATAATTGTGCCTCAGAACAGCAAACTGGGTTCTGTGCCCATCACCGTGAAGGGGGCTGTGCATGCTCCATACTACAAGCTGGGTGAGTGGAAGCCCTGGGTGCTCCCGAGGGAAGGGGAAGAACTGGGATGACTCCAGAGAGCGTGGGAGTCCAGGAGGTGACTAGAGCCTGTTTGATGCACAAGGAGAGAGACACGGACTAATACAGGAAGGAGGGTCAGCTTCCTTAGATTCGGCTTTGGGGTTGTACAGATAAAGACCAAACCACATCCTTGGGGACTTCGTAGAAAAAGCATAGAGAAAAGGGATATGGCCTCAGCAAACTCATGCAGGAACAGAAAACCAAACATGACGTGTTCTCACTTACAAGTGGGAGCTGAACAATGAGAACACATGGACACAGGGAGGGGAACAACACACATTGGGGCCTGTCAGTGGGGTGGGTAGCGGGGCAGATGGAGGGAAAGCATCAGGATAAACAGCTAATGCATGCTGGGCTTAATACCTAGGTGATGGGTTGATAGGTGCAGCAAACCACCATCACACACTTTTACCTATGGAACAAACCTGCATGTCCTGCACACATATCCCGGAACTTTAAATTAATTTTTTTCAAAAAGAGGAGGGATGTGGCAGTTCATGATTTTGGTGTTCTCTTCCTGGAGTCCAAGCTGTATGTTGTAATTTGTGGGATTTGGGAAAGGATTTCAAGCTCCATGATCTCTCTTCCTAGGGGAGACCACCCTGGAGGAGTGGAAGAGGCGTATCCAGGAGAATCCAGGGCCCTGGGGAGAGCTGGCCACGGACAACATCATTCTGACCGTGCCGACCGCAAATCTTCGTACTCTGGAGAACCCTGAGCCGCTGCTCCGCCTCTGGGACGAGGTGATGCAGGCTGTGGCGCGACTGGGAGCTGAGCCCTTCCCTTTGCGCCTGCCTCAGAGGATTGTTGCCGACGTGCAGATCTCAGTGGGTGGGTGCTCCAAGCGAACCCTCTGTGCATGCTGCCTCCGAGCGCCTTCCTGTGCTTCATCAGCCATACAGTAGGCAGCCATTAGGGGAAACATATTTTGCTAACAAGACATATAGATGTATCCTTGCTATTTAAATGGGAAGGAAATATATATATATTATATATATATATAACAGTTTATGTCAGCATGTCAAGGACATCAAGAAATGCCACCTGAGCTTTCACAGGCATTCATCGGGGACTTCAAGCTGGTGAAAATGGCAGAGGGCCTTGACCTAGGTCAGAATTGTTGGCTTGGAACAGGGATATTTTACAACTTTATGAACACACTGAATAAAGTGATCTTTGCCTATGGTCAAGGAACATGAAAAATGAGGGAAATATACAGACATTAAAGAAACATGGGAATCTCTCTGGACCCTCATTTTCTTCTCTTATACAGATGTTCACTGTAAACTGGTGTTGATGTGGCAACTCCATATCTGAACAGTGAGAGAGGAGCTACCTTAAAGAGCTCTGAATTTTGAGAAAAGGTTATAGTGACACAGGTTCACATGGATAAGGCATCCTCATCAAAATAGAAAAATTGAATGGTAACATGAATGGCTCCTTATCTCTAAGCTGCGTCTCCTTCCATAGTCACACTATTTTGTGTCAGAGTGAAGATGAAGGAATTCTTACAGAATGAGAAGAGGAGAAGGAACACCTAGCAGGGTCTTGGTTTGGGCTGCTTTTCTGAGCATTATGGTGTGCGGGAATTTGGCTGGGGTTACTGTTTTCAAACAGACACAATACACAGAAGAATGTTACCAGTTAAATGGGGAGGACCCTAACTCTGTCTTCCCTCCTGCATTTTCCAGGCTGGATGCATGCAGGGTACCCCATCATGTGCCATCTGGAGTCAGTGCAGGAGCTCATCAACGAGAAGCTCATCAGAACCAAGGGGCTGTGGGGCCCCGTCCACGAGCTGGGCCGCAACCAGCAGCGGCAGGAGTGGGAGTTCCCACCACACACCACAGAGGCCACCTGCAACCTGTGGTGTGTGTATGTGCATGAGACGGTCTTGGGCATTCCTCGAAGCCGTGCCAATATTGCTCTGTGGCCCCCAGTTCGGGAGAAAAGAGTCAGAATCTACCTGAGCAAGGGTCCCAATGTGAAAAACTGGAATGCATGGACCGCACTGGAAACGTATTTACAGGTACTGGGCAAGAACGGCAGGTGACGGGGGACCCCTACTGCGGGGACCATCTGGGAAACTGTCAGATAATGTTCTAGTGGCCCAGAAGACCTCCCATGGCCCCTGTCTCACACACCAGGATATGGGGGCCCTGACAAAGTCCAACTGTGACAGTCGTATTGATGATGTCTCTCCGTGTATCACTTTGCATGACCCTCAAGTGGATTTAATTGCCTGAGCCTCACCTTCCACCCCATAGAGCTACATGATAGTAAATAGAAAGCATTGAGAAAGGTTAAAAATGGTAGAGGCAAATAAAGTACTATACATGTACTCACTGTCTCTGGCTTTAAAGCCAGGCATACCTGAGACTGAAGCCAAACTCTCCTACTTAATAGCTATCTAAAACCAGTCTCCCCTCTCCCATACACATAATCCATAGGCTATGACTTACGTTTTTTTCCTTAGATGAATGTACCATCTTCTCATTATGCCTTGGCCATGCCTCAGAGTCCCCGTTATGTAGGCAGTCCAAGAGTCCTCACTGACCTGGACAAGGAGGTGGCCTTGCCTTTGACCAGTTGTTTAATGCCCAGTTCCCTCCCTGCAATGCCTGGATCAGTTCCTGGCATGAAACTGGAGAATTTCATCACCTTGAATTTCAGAACTCAGTCTCAGGCCAAGCATGCTCTATTCTGGTTCTTCCACCTGCTGGAGGCTCTCTTATTCATTCCCACTGCCATGAGAATTATGGGAAACAGCCAGGGAGGCTCCACTTCAACCTTGTTATGGCTGCTTTGCCCCAGGAACACCAAGTTTCTCACTGGTGAAATAAATGTGAAGTTGGTCTAGAGAACTGCTCAAGTGCTTCATAATTCAAGCTCTGTAACTCAACAGCCTCAGGATGGCTGCCTTTTTCAAAAATTACAACTCACTCTTTTAATTCTAGTTACCCAGACAATCTGTAGTCTTCTACTTCTATCCAACTCACTTTTTTCCCCAAAGGCCATTTTAATAGCCTTGCACATTGACAAAGATCTATGATTAATGAGGATTTCTTTGTGCCAGGATGAGGTGGAAGTTTCCCTATTATTGAGGTTTCACTTTTCAACTCTTGAGAGATAAGAGGGTTTTTCCAATTCTGCCAATTTTAAATCCTTGTGTAATATCATATCTCCATTTGCATGATCTAGTGGGATATATGGATAATGACAGTGGTAGAAAATATTGATATTAAGCATTGCAGTTATTACCATGGCCCTCACTGATTGAGTGTTCACTTGGTGTTGAGCACCGTGCTGGTCCCAAGGCCCTTCCTGAGATTAGAATGTGGGAGAGCAGGGCATGAGGCCAGTAGGCAAAATGGAGGAGAGCAGGTCGGTGATAGACGTGAAGCTGATGGGTAAGGGGTTACATACACTAAGTTCACTTATTATAGTGGTTCTTGTTGGACCCTCTTTTATTTCTCAATCTCACCTGTATTTTTCTTTCTCTTTCCAGCTACAGGAAGCCTTTGGTTGGGAGCCATTCATCCGTCTCTTCACCGAGTACAGGAACCAGACCAATTTACCCACAGATAATGTTGACAAAATGAATCTGTGGGTCAAGATGTTCTCCCACCAAGTGCAGAAGAACCTGGCTCCGTTCTTTGAGGCCTGGGCCTGGCCCATCCAGAAGGAAGTGGCTACCAGCCTGGCCTATCTGCCTGAATGGAAGGAAAATATTATGAAATTGTACCTCCTCACACAGATGTAAGGAGTGCCCATCGAGGTGGCAGGTAGAGAGGTTTGGGGAGGTAGGCAGAGGTGGGGATTCATTCCTCTACCTCTGCCTCCCAGGGTCTGGCCTTGTCCTCTTAGTTCATTGCCCTATACCTTATTACCGACTTCTGTCTCTAGGAAGTGGGTTCAGAACACAGCCAAAAGTGGAATCAGAATTTCTCAGGTGCAAGGGCTTCTGTTTCTGCATCTTATTCCTCTGCTCTCAGCTGCCACATTCCCTCCTAACCCTGTACTGGCCCAGTTCCGAGAGCTTTGGCACCTGCTTCTATATCAGCCCTGATTCACCATCATAGGCCATAGCCCAGAGGGGGTAGTTCTCATGTTAGCATCCTGAGGACTCCCTTTGGGCTTTTGTTTTTGATCAGTTGTTCCAAAAACTTAACCATAAAACTCAACTGGAACACAAATTTACCATGAGACCCAGACAGCTCCCGGATGGGCGCATATATTTTGTGACTTGAGCAGTTTTCAAAGTGCTAGACAAGCATTCTGGTATAGTGGGAAGAGCCCAGAACTAGGTAGGGTTAGCTCTTGGGAAAGTCATTTCAACTTGGTACTCTCATTTCCTGTGTGTAAAATGGGGATAAAAATTCCCAGTTCACAGGGTTGTCTGGAGGTTCAGACTGATAAATTCTGAAGAAGCTTGTGAGGTCTGCAGAGCATGTCATCTAAGGGGTTTTTCTATTTTATGCTGGTCCACAGGATAATGAGCTTACTATTTTCCATCCTCTCTCCAGAATTTAGAGGTTAGGATAACTCTTTCTACAAGTAGCTTGCCTGTGTTCAAATTCTGGTTCTTTCACCCACGAATTGTATAACCCTGGCAATTTCCTTAACTTCACTGTGATTTAGTTTTCTCATCTTTAAAATAGTATCTATCTCATAGGATTATTGTGAAAATTACATTTTATAAGACCTCTAAAAAGCAATGGAACAGTCCCTGGCAGGTAGTAGGTGTTGAGAAAATGTCTGCTGCCATTATTATTATCGAATTGACTGATCATTCTTTATGAGCTAGACTTGACTTTTAGATTATATTTACAGAGGCGGTTGTAGTTAATCCTAGCCCATGTTGCACTTTATACAGCAACCTCTGAAAGGATTCTGCTATGTTGCCTTATGAATCTAAAGGAAGAGCTCTAGAGAAGAGAGGAAAGGAAGAGAATTTAGAAATTCACAATAGGTTTTTTAAAAATAGCTAAAAATTTTAGTTTTTTTAACTTAGATTTGTAAAGCTATTTATAAGAACCCCATTGTGAATTTGGAGCTCTTCCTTGGATCTCCTTACCCAGTTCTATCTTACACATCCAATTCCTTCTTTGATTAAATCAAGACTAGATGTCTTGAAGAAACGAGATCAATTCCATAATGACATTTGGCCTTAACAAACAGAGTGTATCTGGTTTCGTGACAGTGTTTATATTTCTGTAACACAGATTCAAGACACAGTCCCTGTCGAGTTACTCACCAGTTTGGCAGACAAAGTCCACACACATAGAGGACTTTACTCTGAAACAAGATAATTGGATAGAGTTCACCCAAACTTACTTCCTTTTAATTTTATTCAGAATCCCCTATTTCTTTATAGTTTTAACTAAAGTTGGCTCCTTTTGATTGATGTCATATACATCCAGCCAGTTTTTCTTTAGCTCACTGTTTATTTTAATTATTTTAATATATCATTTTATTTGCTTAATTGGTAATTGGGTAGATATGTAGACTGTAAGATTTGACCTATAGAGTTTTCTCTTTGGATTTTTTTTTCTTGAGATGGAGTATCACTCTTGTCGCCCAGGCTGGAGTGCAATGGCACGGTCTCAGCTCACTGCAACCTCCACCTCCCAGGTTCAAGCGATTCTCCTGCCTCAACCTCCCGAGTAACTGGGATGACAGGCGCCCACCACCACACCCAGCTAATTTTTTTGTATTTTTAGCAGAGATGGGGTTTCGCCGTGTTGGCCAGGCTGGTCTCAAACTCCTGATCTAGGTGATTCACCCACCTCGGCCTCCCAGTAGATTTCTTTATCATGTTATTTGTCAGTCCTAGGATTATTTCTCCTGATTGCATGAATATCCATTGCCTAGCTGCTTTGAACATTAGACATTGGATATTTGTTCAACATTTAAAATAATTGTTATCAATTATTGGGTGTATACCAGTTATTGTAGTGATTCCTTTATATAGATTGTTTCATTTAATCTTCACAATAATCTCATGACATGGCAACTATTATCACTCTCATTTTATTTTATGAAACAGAGAACTGAATTTAATGAAGATAAGGTAAATTATCTGAGGCTATATTGCTAATAAGTGGTTGATCTGGGATTTGAATTCAGGCATTCTGATTATAGAATGGGCATTCATAACTACAGTGCTTTGAATGACCCAATCAATGGGTAAATAAATAAGCCAACCAGCAAACCAAAGGATCATTATGTCCCTACTTGCCAGAGCTTTGGCTGCATATACTTACCCATCATCTATTTTTATCAGAACAAAAAGTCATTTTGTTTATCCCAAATGACAATTCAAAGAATTTAAGGTAGGCTCCTGAAGTGCTTCCCAATATATAGTGCTGGAGTGAGCCCTTTAGCATCAGCCAGATCTTTTAGGTTCTGGGTTATTCTTTCTAGGGTACCATGAAAGTGTTCTCTAGTTTGTTGGATTTTGAATGATGGACTATTTCGGTGAAGTACCTGACTCCCAAAGATCCCAAACACTGCAGGTTCTCAGAGAGGAAATTAGAACCTCCATCTTTGAGAATATGTGTATCCATTCTTGCCCTCTTTAATATATTTTTAGCAGTACATCCCAGGGATATATTTAAAATATAAAGTTATCCATGTTACTTCCGTGTCTAAAAGCCTCCAGTGGAATTTCTAATTTGAGATAATGAACTAAACATAAGTTTACCTTCCCTCCCTCCCCAGGCCCCACTGAAATTGAAGTCCAGAAATGCAAAAAGGAATTGACACATCTCAGCAAAGAAAACTGAAGGGATTTGGTTATAAGTGGAGAAGATCTCAGCACATTTCTGGAAGAGAGAAAGTGGATGAAGCATGATAATGAAAGAGTGAAGAACCTTTCAGATAAAATATAAGCTGATCTGAGCAACATAACCCCAAAGAGACTTGAGCACCTGAAAAGTTTGTCTACTGAAGAATTACTCCGGTTGTAAAATTGAACCCTCTCCTACTCTTCCCCAACTCTTATGCACAGAACACAGGCAGTCTCCACTATTGATACCCGTTAAAAATGTCTTGTTATTGTTGCTGTTGTTTGTATAAAGGAATTGAACAGACTGCCTGCAGAGATATAAGAGTTGGTGCTCCAGAAAAAAATTTCTCTTCTAGTGGAAATAAGTGCCCCCAGCCAGTAGCTGATTCTCTACTGACAGCTGAGACCTCCTACTCAAGTGCCTGTTGCCTTCAGGTATAGAAGAGATTTGCTGAAGAAACAGACCTAACCGTACAACAGCAGAGGAAACCCATGCTGACTGTTATAGAAGTTAACAGTTATGTTGATTCTTAAATGGGAATAGTGAGTTAGAAATTCCCAGACATGGGTGATGGGGAGGGAAGAGGAATAAGAAAAGTCACCAGGTAGAATTAGGGGCCTTGAAGATATGACAAACTGAGGGAAACAAAGACAATGTAGAAAGAATAACTTAATTTTAATTCCATCTTCAGAGAGAGTTGGGGTGTATTTAAGATGAAAAACAGGATACTACAAAGAAACAGAAAACTCAGGAGTTCGAGACCAGCCTAGGCAAGATGGCAACACCCTGTCTCTACAAAATAATTTTTAAAAATTAGCCAAGCATGGTGGCATGTGCCTGTGGTCCTAGCTACTTGGGAAGCTGAGATGGGAAGATCACTTGAGCCCAGAAGTTCAGGGCTACAGTGAACCATGATGGTGCCACTGTACTCCAGCCTGGGGGACAGAGTGAGACCCTGTCTCTTAAAAAGCAGCAAAAGAAAGAGAAAACTGAAAATAAGAAGATCTCTTTGAAAATAAAATAAGACTGCTATAAGTATTTGGTATACGGTCTGGAAAATAAAGTTGAGGGAATCTCTCCAGATAAAGAGCAAAAAGAGATAGAAAATATAAAGAAAGAAAAGAGACATAGACAATCAATATTTAATGTTAGGAGTTCCTGGAAGAGAGAACAGAGACAATGTAGGTGAAGAAGTAAAAAGAAAAAGAATTGAAGAACAGAGCAAGCTAAGTCTCCAGATTTAGAGGTCCCAATAAAATCTACATCTAGACACAATGTTGTAAAATTTTGGAATATTAAGAATAGAAGGAAGAGATTAAAGTGGCCAGGGAGAAAACAAATGAGGTCATCACGATTAGCTCAACACAAAAATGGATGAGAAATAGACTGCTGACAGATTTGTCATCAGCAACACTGAATGCCAGAAGTCAATGGGTCAACATCTTCACATAGCTTATAGAAAATTTTTATACCTAGAATTTCACAGTAAGGCAAACTGTCAAGAAGAATATCAAAGTGAAGACATTTTCTGACAGGCAAATTTTCAGAAAGTCTTCCTCCTCTGCACCCTTACTGAGGAAGTATCTTGAGGAAGCTCTCCAGCAAAATGAGGATGAAAACCAGGAAAGAAGAAGGAATGGGATCCATAAAACAGCAGAAAGAAGAAGAAATGGGATCTATAAAACAGTGGACCTTACTTAGGATGTCTCATTCTAGAGTGACAGTTATCCAAAAGGATGTCTTACTCTAGAGTGACAGCTATCCAGCAGACTAATTTCAGATGAGAACACAGTCTTGGGCTTTCTGGGAAGAATGTGCATTCAGTGCCATAGATGGTATCATTGAGAAGCTAGGATGCTTGAGAAGGTTATTTAGTCAAGAAAAAGACAAATCAACAATATGTCAAAAAATTCAGGTCCAATTATAGAGCAAAATAAAATGAGGCATGATTTTGAGTTATTCATGAAAAATAAGAAGAGGCTTGATAGGTACATTTCCTTTTCTATGGCACAGGCATGATGATATTGGGTGTGTAGGGAAGAAAATATCCTAGAAAGAAAATATAGTAAGCTCTCAGTAAGAAGTATCTAGCCAAAATAATATCGATATCATTTATCAGTATTCAGTGTTCAGATCAGCCTATTGACAAAGTGTGAAAGGCTTCATTTTTTATTCAGAACTGAAGTTGAAAGTAATTAATGCTGACAAAGGGAAAGAAAGCAGAAAGAGATTGAGAATTAGAGGAAGATAGGTGGAATCAAAGGTAGAGATACTTATATATTCAAAGTGGGGATGAAAAGATCTTCAGTTAATGGAACAAGAACTAGAGGATTAGTATATTGTTCAAAGCTATAAATCAAACCAATAGATGTATTAAAAAGTGATGTAACTATCAGACATTTGGAGAGAGATGGACAAAGGAAAGTGGAGATAGTGTAAGTTAAATCCTTATCTTTTGTAATGGGGAATTATTAAAGATGGTGTAAAGTCACTAAGTCAGGAAATTATTGCTCAAACATATTATTTAAAGTTAGAAAGTTAGTTACCAGACGATCTAAAATAAATATTGTTAAAAGCATTACCTCTAGGGAATGGGACTAGATGTAAAAAGGGTGGGATGGGAAACTGTGTTTTTCAGTTTAAGTCCTTCTGTACTATTTAATTTTTTACCTTGTGCATGTATTACTTTGAAAAAATTTCTAATAAACCCAAATAAAAATCTTCCAGTGACTTCACATTGATTAAGATGCAACCCAGCTAAAGCTTTTAACATGGTTTTCAAGGTCCTCAAGTACCTAGGTCCACTTGATGTGTCCAGGCTCATGATATCTCCCCACTAGTCTCTTAAGTATCTTCCAGTTGTTAAAATACATTAGGTATCTTCCAGTTATTAAAACACACTTCACATTCTTTTGTTTGTACAGGTGTTCCACAAAAAACAAAGCCTACTGCTGATCTCACCATGTCTGCTGAGTAAGCTTACCATCTAGTGGTTTTTTTAATATTTGTTGCATGAAAGAATGTCCAATACAACATTGAATGAAGTTTACCAACTTTATTCTTTTCCAAGAAGGCCTTTGATGTTCGCCCCTTTTCTGGGAAAAATTTCAAGAAGGACCCTCCAGGGCCCTAAGCTTTTCTACACACCTCTTCATTTGACAGTTTTAATAAGTTTTAGTCTTACATGAGGCCAGCTGGTGTCAGAGGATTTCTGTCCACCTGTCAGTCTCCCTGGTGTACTCTTTGCTACTTCCCCTGAACATCATAACCTCTTTTCAGCTATTTTTAACCCTGTACTTTGGAGAAACAGCCAACTATCTAATGGAAATCTTTAGGCCACCAAGTTTCTTTTTTTTTTTTTTTTAAGTTTTATTTTACTTTTAATTGGCTCATAATAATTGTACATACTTATAGGGTATAGTGTGATGTTTTGATACATGTATACATTTTGTGATGATCAAATCAGGGTATTTAGCATATTTTTCACCTCAAACATTTATCATCCCTTTGTGGTAAGAACATTCAAAATCCTCTCTTCTAGCTATTTTGAAATATACAATATACTATTGTTAACTATAGTCACCCTACTGTGCAGTAGAACACCAGAACTTGTTCCTATCTAACTGAACCTCTGTACCTGTTGACCAGTCTATCCCCATCTCCCCTGCCCCACTACCCTCCCAAGCCTCTGGTAACCACTATTCTACTCTCTACTGCTATGAAATCAACTTTTAAAATTATAGAATCTACTTTTGTGTGAGATTGTATAGTAGTCATCTTTACATGCCTTGCTTATTTCACTTAACATAATGTCCTCTGGGCCCAATCATGTTGCCACAAATGACAAAATTTCTTTTTACAGTTGAATAGTATTCCATTGTGTATATACACCACATTTTCTTTATCCATTCATCCACTGATGGACACTTAGGTTGATTCCATGCAGCTATTGTGAATAATGCTGCAGTAAACATGGGAATGCAGATATCCTTCCACATAACTGATTTTATTTCCTTTGGATATATGCTCAGTAGTGGGATTCAGGATCATATGGTACTTCCATTTTTTAATTTTTTTAAGGAAACTTCATTCTGTTTTCCATCATTGCTGGACTAATTTACAACAGCATATAAGACTTCCTCTTTCTTCACATTTATCCCAACATTTGTTATTTTTTGTCTTTTTGATAATAGCCATTCTAACTGAACTGAGGTGATATGTCATTATGGTTTTAATTTGCATTTCCCTGATGATTAGTGATGCTAAGCATTAGTATGTCTTCTTTAGAGAAATGTCTATTCAGGCATTTTGCCCATTTTTAAATGGAATTATTTATTCTTCTGCTATTGAGTTGAGTTTTCTATATAGTCTGGGCATTAACCCCTTGTCAGATGCATAGTTTGCATATGTTTTCTCCCATTCCTTAAGTTACCTTCAATCTGTTTCTTTTGCTGTACATCTCAATTTTAATTTACTGTAGTACCATTTCTCTATATTTGCTTTTGTTGTATGCTTTTGAGGTCTTACTCAAAAAACCAATGTCATGAATTGTTTCTCCCATGTTTTCTTCTAGTATGCTTACAGTTTCAGCTCTTAAAGTTTTTAATAAATTTTGAACTGATTTTTATATACGGTGAGAGATAGGGGTCTAATTTTATTCTTCTACATGTGGATATTCAGTTCTCCCAGTGCCATCTATTGAAGAGCCTCTTCTTTTCCTAGTGCATGTTGCTGACACTTTTGTTGAAAATCAGTTGGCTGTAAATGCATGGATTTATTTCTGTTCTGTATTCTGTTTCAGTTATCTATGTGTCTATTTTTATACCGGTACCATGTTGATTTGGTTACTATAGCTTTGTAGTATATTTTAAAGTCATGTAGTGTGATGCATCGAGCTTTACCTTTGCTCAGGATTGCTTTGGCTATTTGGGGTCTTTTGTGGTTCCATAGAAGTTTTAGGATTTTTTTCTATTTCTGTGAAGAGTAGGGATTGCATTGAATTAGTAAATTGCTTTGGATAATATGGACATTTTGACAATGTTAATTTTTGCAATTCATTGTTATCTTTCCATTTATATGTGTGCTCTTCAATTTCTTTTATCCGTATTTTATAGTTTCCACTCGAGATCTTTCACCTCCTTGGTTTACTATATTCCTGGGTATTTATTGTACAGCTATTATCAATGGATTGCTTTCTTGATATCTTTTTTTAGGTAGCTTGCTGTTGGCATATAGAAACACTACTGATTTTTGCATGTTGATTTTGTATCCTGCAACTTTATTGAATTTATTTATTCTAACAATTGTTTTGTGGAATCTTTAGGATTTTCTATATATAAGATCATGTCATCTGCAAACAAGGACAATTTGACTTCCCCCTTTCCTATTTGGATGCCTTTCATTTATCTTGCCTAATTGTTCTGACTAGGACTTCCAGTAATATACTGAACAAAAGTGGTAAATGTGGCATCCTTGTCTTGTTGCATATGATAGAGGAATAGCTTTCAACTTTTTCAGTGTGATGTTATCTATGAGCTTGTCATTTATGGCCTTTATTGTGTTGAGGTATGTTACTTTCATATCTAATTTGTTGAGAATTTTTATCATGAAGGGATGTTAAATTTTATCAAATTTTTTTTCTTTGTTGAAATGATTATGTCATTTTTGTCCTTCATTTTGTTAATGTGATGTATCACATTTATTGACTTACCTATGTTGAACCATCATGCATCCCTGGGACAAATCCCACTTGATTGTGGTGAATTATCTTTTCAATATGCTGTTGAATTTGTTTCACTTGATTTCATTAAAGATTTTTGCATCTATGTTGATAAAGGAGATTGGCCTATAGTTTTCTTTTTGTGTTGTATCGTTGTCTAGTTTTGATAATGTTGGCCTCATAGAATGAGTTTTGAAGAATTTCCACCTCTTCAACTTTTCAAAATAGTTTAAAAAGAAGTGATATTATTCTTTATATGTTTGGTAGAACTTAGCAGTAAAGTCATCAGGTCCTGGGCTTTTCTTTGATGGGAGACTTATTGCTGATCATTCTTGTTACACATTATTGACCTGTTTAGGTATTTTATTTCTTCATATTAGTTAAATTTTGGTAGGTTTCATGTGTTCAGGAATTTATGTAGTTCTTTTAGGTTTTCCAATTTATTGGCATATAATTTCTCATAAAAGTCTTTTATGATCCTTTGTATTTCTGTGGCATCTGCTTTTTTTTTTTTATCTCTGATTGTATTTATTTGAGTCTTCTCTGTTTTGTTAGTCTAACTACAACATTTATCTTTTCAAAGAACCAACTCTTTGTTCTACTGATTTTTATGTTATTTTCAGTCTCTATTGCACTTCTGCCTGATCTTTATGAGTCTTCTGATAGTTTTGGGTTCAGCTGGCCCTTGTTTTTCTCATTTCTTGAGGTGCTGCATAAAGTTGTTTATGTAAGATTCTTATACTTTTTTGATGCAGGCATCTATTGCTATAAACTCCCTCTTAGAACAGCTTTTGCTGTATCCCATAGGTTTTGGTATGTTATGTTTCCATTTTTATTTGTCTCAAGGAATTTTTAAATCTTCTTTTTAATTTCTTTATTGATGCTCTGGTTGTACAAAAACTTGTTTTTAGTATTCATGTATTTGTGTATGTTCTATAGTTTCTCTTGGTATTCATTTCTAGTTTTTACTACATTGTGGTAAGAGAAGATGCTTGATGTGATTTTGATTTTTAAACATTTCTTCAAATATGTTTTGTGGACTAACATATATTCTATCCTGGAGAAAGTTCCATGTGCTATTGAGCAAAATGTACATTCTGTAGTTATTGGGGGGAATGTTTTGTAAATATCTGCTGGGTCTATTTGATCTAGAGTGTAATTTAAATCTGATTAATTCTTTGTTGATTTTCTATCTGGATGATCCATCCATTGCTGAAAGATGGTGCTAAAGTCCTTTTTATTTTATTTCAATTTTTCTTTCCCTTTAGATCACATAATATATGCTTTATGTGTTGCTTTATATATTTACTTTATATATTGGGTGCTCTGGTGTTGTGTGCTCATATACTTACAACTGTCCTAACCTTTTGCTGAATTGAGTTATTATATAATGACCTTCTTTCCTCTTTTTACAGTTTTTTACTTAGAGTCTATTTTGTCTGATATAAGTATTACTACACCTGCTCTCTTTTGGTTTCCATTTTCACAGAATTTCATTTTCTATTCCTTCACTTCAGTCTATGTGTGGCCTTATAGGTGAAGTGAGTATCTGATAGGCAGCATGTTGCTGAATCTTTTTTTTTTTAAATCCATTCAGCCACTGTATGTAATTTAATTGGGAATTTATTTCATTTACATTCAAAGTTATTATTGATAGGTAAGGACTTCTGCCATTTTGTTTATTATTTTCTGGTTCTTTTGTTTATCCTTTGTTCCTTCCTCTCTCGTGTTTATCTTTCTGGCTTGATGAGGGTATTTGTTGTGTTAAGCTTTTATTCCTTTCTTTTTCTCATTTGTATGTCTGTTGTAATTTTTTCTTTGTGGTTAGTATTGGGGTTACATTAAAAACTCTCATACTTAGAATAGACTATTTTAAGCTGATAATAAATTAACTTTCATTGCATACCAATACTCTAGACTTTCGTTCTGCCCCCAAATTTATAATTTTGTTGCCTTAATATACATCTTTATATATTGTTTATTCCTTAACAACTTATCATAGCTATAATCATTATTATCA